CTCTCTCTCTCTCTCTCTCTCTCTCTCCTTCTCTCTCTCCCCCTCTTTCTCTCTCTCTCTCTCTCTCTTCTAGTCGGAATAAAAGCGTTACAGCACCCGCTCTTCCGTCCACCCCCGCGCACGTGTACTGTAGATAAAAAAGGAATAAAGGTGAGGGAGATCTTGTAACGCGAATAGATCGCGATGCCTTTTCGACATCTTGGAATATCCCTGAAATTCATGTATTCGCTATGAGAAAACCGGCTTTTTGCCTCGTACTCGTTCCTCGCTTTTTTCTCTTTTTTCCTTGCTCTCTCTCTCTCTCTCTCTCTCTCTCTCTGCCTCCCTCTCCCTCCCCTCTCTCTCTTTCTCTCTCATTCTCCCCTTTTACCCGTTCTTGCTCGACTACTCGCTTCTTGCCTCCTCTCCTCTCCCCTACAGGCTGCATGCAGCTGCATAATGCATGGTGCTCGCGCTGCGGCTGAAATTTATACCGTATCCGGGGAAAATCCCTCTTCTGCGGTGGTTTCGCGCGGTAGGAAAGGTTACGCGTTATAAACATCGGCGATGCTTACGCGCTCAAGCGAAATCGCTTAACGATACTTACCTAAATGCTTATCGCCTCGCCATGCGAACGAATATTGCGGAGAAATACGGCGCACTGCGACGTCGTCGCCCGCGAGAATACTTTATTTGCGCCGCGATCTCTCTCTTTCTCTCTCTCTTGTTCTTTCTTTTTCGTTTCTCTTCGCAAGTTCGATCGCGCTAAAGGCGATTCGAATCGCCCCTGTCGCTCGTTGCCCCCGCGAGATCGCCGTAATAAGTGGCTTTTTCCGGGCGAATTTATGAAATTGGATCGCTGCCTTCCGCATCCGCTCCCCTCGCTCTCCCGCTCCCACTCTCGCGTATCGCGCTCGCCTCTCGAGCACGGATAAATCCGCCCTTTCGATAAAGGCGAAAGGGACTTGTTATGGGTGCACTTTGACCCGCTTTCCAACGCCAGGCAACTTCCTCCGGCGCGAGTAACTCTGCGACATAAAAAAAAGAGCATCGATTGGCTTGATCGCGTTTCGTCCTGGAAATGGCGAGTTATTCGGATATCCTTGTGCGATGTCGTAAAGTAAATTCGAAGAAGGGAGAGAAAGAGAGGGAGCGAGAAGCCGGGATTTATTAAAATATTCAAATATTTGAATGTCTTTTTGCGACGACTTGAATGATGCTCTCGAGATTTACATAATCGAGATCGTAGGAGTAATTTCGATTTAAGAAAAGCGGGCGATATTGGCCTATTTCGGATAATTTATCCTTACAAATTTTACTGAATTGCCATTTCGCGATCGTAAAATCGCGTTTTCGAAGAAAAACAATATATTAAGCATCCGCAATTTAAAACGTTTTATTACAGCACCGGAATTCTGATTTTTTCTCTTCATTACAAGAGTTTTATTTTCATTCGTTTGCATTTTTGTTACACAATCTTCACCACTTACGTTCTCACAATTATTGAAATAACGTCTTCTTCTTCCTATTACTCGACTGGTAGTGATAAGAGAAAGATTTGAAACATATTTAGTAATCCACATTTTTTTAGAGATCAGAGTTGCGCAAAGACTTAATGACAGCAGGCAGATCACGTCGCAGCGTAACGGGAGAGTTGCGCAATCATGTGATGTTCTTACGCATTATCGAATACAGAAATCCTGGCGACCTTGACCCAGACTCATAGACGAAATTACGAGATCGTCCGAGGCCTTGAAGAGGAGTTTCAAGGCCGAGGCGAGAGCGGCTAAAGGCCCGGACGACCTCGTCGGCTCGTTTCTTCTAATTCCAGACTCTAAGGTGGCGATTAAGCCCGGTTTCGAGTGCCATTGTCGATCGAGTTCATTCAGCGGCACGATCGTTCGCGCGCGATATCACCAGATAGTGACTCTCCATTGTACAGCACTTTGCCGCGGATAAATCTCCCGTTGTGTACCTTCCTTTTTTCAACGAGCCAAACGCTCTCTGTGTACGAAACAATGATTTAGAATTCGCGAGCTTTTCGGTATCGTCGGGCATCGCGGAATACGACACAGAATATATCGTGAATAACACAAAACTCGATGGGAAAAATATATATTTATACAGAGAGCAGAAAGCGTTTGAAGAGATCAAGGTAGTAAGCTAAAAGTACCTATGCCTGGACATTAATAACCCTGCACTGCAAAGTGCAAGTGGATTATTTTTATTTTAGCTCTGAATCTCTTCTTACATTTTTACCGTTTCTTACGGTTTAAAACGTATTAAATAATAATTTATACATCTCTTAAGCGTATTAAGGCTCCTTATATCTCGCTGGCCATGTTGAATTTATGACGTCAGAAGCGAGGAATGACATATTGACGAAAGTTGTGTGCCATTTCTGAATAAAGATAAATATGGACGGAAGAGCATTTGAGATTGCTTGACCACACTTGTAAAATTGTTCGAAATCCATGGTCAGATTTTTCGTTAAATATGATCAAACAAAATAACATACATTTACGTGAATTTTATATGTACAAAAAATACGTAATTGTATTCGTTTCTACCTTATTGACATTTTTTTAAGTTTGCCATCAACTTCAGCGTCCCCTTAATGCGTTTAAAAATAACACTTGCATTTGCAGTATAATACCTAACTGTGGAGATTCTTTTATTGTCTTGATTTTCAAATATGAATGTTTGAACTTTTAATGTAGAAAAAAAATATTCAATACACACACATACATACACACACACACACACACACACACACACACACACACACATATATATATATATATATATATATATATATATATTATATTATTAGTTTAAATATTCGTATTTGAAAATCAAAATAATAAGAATATTTAGGTGTACTGAGAGAAATTATTTGATAAAAAATTAACAAACGGATATTTCCAATTAAAATATTGACAAATTTTTATATCCGATCAGGAAACATCCGACGGGAAATATTGGTTCATAATTTTTTGATCGATTTATCTGATAAAATGCCATTATAATCGGAAATATTCAATAAAATTTAATCGGATATCCTGATCGGATATAAAAATTGACCGGAATTTGGTCGGAAATATCCGTTTGTTAATGTTTTATCGGATAATTTCTCTCAGTGTGTTAATGTTATTAGTGTCCAAGTACTGGTGGTTTTATCTTAAAGAGATGATACGCGAGTCGACAGGTGAATTTAATTTGTTCGTTTGCAATTTTAGGTTACGGTCACATCGCGCCGAAAACGAAGAACGGCAAGGTAGTGACTATATTTTACGCTATCTTAGGCATTCCGCTCATGTTGCTCTGCCTGTCGAATATCGGAGACGTGATGGCGTCGAGCTTTAGGTACGATCCTTCACGATCCTCAATCACGCTCGCCTGAATCGTGATGAATTTGGAAAATGAAAAATCGCGAGATTGCGTTTCGCTCGCGCTCACGCGTGCAGCGCGTGTGCGACGTTTAGTAGTTTCCGTCGTTCTGGCTCCGAAACAAAAGCGACATGAATAAAGTGAAATGAAATAATTCGTCTGAATTGCCGCGCGCTGTTTTCAGGTTTCTATATTGGAAAGTGTGCTGCTACATATGCACAAAACCACCGAAAAAGCGACGAAGCCGTAATACCTTCGCCAGATCCTACTCCGTTCGTCAACCAGGGTAATCTCACATGTAATACATTAATCACAGAAATGTTCAATTGCGTGTAAAAACACGTGTAACAGAAAAATCACGCCGGGAAGGTAGAAGTTCGAAAAAGTTCGCAATCTATAGTCACAAGCGTACAATTCTGTCGGTGAAAAACGTACACTGAATTTTCAAATAAGAATCACGCATTGTCGATCAGTGACTAATGAATTAATTCTTTCGAGATGGATTTTTTCTCAATTACAATTTGATTGATTAACACTGAAGCCGACAAATATCCAAATATTTAATTCGACGCGCGAATTGTCGTTGCATTTCGAAAAGAGATAGAAAAATAGAATAATTTACAAGATACATAGAGAAAAAAGTTTCGTATTCAGGATTCCTATTTATTTAATTTTAATTTGTTTGATTGAAACGTATATTCTACGTAATATTATGTTAAACATAATTTTATATCAAATATTATTTTATTTCATTGGATTGTTGTTTGATGAAAAGAACACTATTATAATTTTTATATAAAATTTTATACATTTTCCAGTAAAATGAGAAAATTAAGAGTGGAACGATTTTTTTTCTCCAAACTCCAAATTATTATTTGAACCAAATAATGAAATTATTCGAAGAGCCAAACAATCGTACTTATTGGCTGAAACATGAGTCTCTTTGGGCCATTCCAATGACCAAATTTGCTCGGATGCAATTTACTAAGTCCGGAGAAATCTTTTCTCTGTGCAGTTCCGAAATGATTAACGATGTCGTGTCGCGTCCCGAGGTATCCTTAGATCCTCGAGTCGCTCGGGGTGAATAGAACGGGTCTGTTTAGCTTACAAATTTAAGGATCCGTATGCGACTGTATAGTGACACGGTCGTTTGTACTTCATAAGGCGATATGGCTCGAGCAAAGGTCCATTCCGCCGATCCATCAGGGTGAGTCAACGATCAGCGGATTCGGCCTTGGGGCTTTCCGAGAGTATGACGAAGTCTTCATACTCCGACACCGATTGCAGGTGAGATGTTATCCACACTCGATTCGATTATTCGATTCAATGGGAAACGAATCGGACCTTGTCTTCGAGCAAATGAGTATTCGAGGCACGCTTTTAATTATAATCAAGCACTGATCAATTACACTATGTTAAGTATTTTGACCAATTTTTTGCGTTTTCGTCATGAAGGGTTATTCTTTAGTAACGGGTCCGTTGAATACAAATGTGATCTCAGAAACTGTCCGTCACGTTAGGTTTTCGAGAAAAATAGAAGTATAATTATTTATAGGGCAAAACTTTTTTTTAAAGGTGGTGACTCTAATGTCTGTTACAAGTTTATATAACATATCTAGATACATGACAAATATATGAAATATAAGAAATCTTATAATACTTATTATTATTATGATTATTGTTTGGCAAAGTCGGAAATTTAAAATGCAATTTCGTAAAAGTCATCCTTATACGGAGAACGAAGTACTGTCATAAAATACAACAAACTGGACCTTTAGTAGAGAAGTTTTCGTTGGTCGCTAATTCTACGTATCCAGAAATTTGTTGAGTATGAGATATAATTCTGCTATTTTGTTGTATAAATTTATGACATCGCTTGATCCCCCTGTGAAGATGGCTTCTACAAAGCTGTACTTTAAGTTTCCGACTTTTTAAAATAGAGACGAAAGTTCTGGCATCAATTTCAGGCTATTTCGAAGTTCCTGGCACGTCTGGTTTATGCGTTAGAAATTTGTGAAAATGGTCAAAGAAGTATTTTTGGTTTAAATAATGACTCTCAATGCAATGTAGTGTATAAAATATTTTATCAAAATTGCAATGTGTCAAAACAAACACTCAGAAGATTTTTAATAAAAATTAACAAAAATTAAAGAACATAAAAGAAATATTAATCAAGTTGACAAAAAAAAGATAAGTTATTTCAGAACGTAGAATCAAATTTAATCATAAAATAGATTAGGATAACATTGAGATACTAGACATAAAAAAAGGTTACTTAAAAAGACGGATATTTCAGATTAAACAGATTAAATACAGATTAAAAGGCCGCAGAATCCGTTAAATTTATAAGAAGATATAGTCTTACTGAGCGACTCCTATTTGCCTATTAAACAAACTCAAAAACAATTCAGCACATTATCATGAAACACTTCTACTTAACTTGCAATTATATATTGCGTGATATCTTCTTTGTGTAGTATATATTTGCTTTCAACTTTGTTTGATTGTCTTGTCTAACAACACTACCATTTCACAGTAAGGATACATTGTTCGCTCTTGGACCTGATATGTTTTAAACACTTGACTTCTTTTTTTTGTTTTCCAACATTATTATTTATTCTGTTGTCATGATATTTATATAGGTGCATTCTTGGACATCCGGCGTATTATTTAAATAAATTTTGTTGTTTATCATATTGGGTATCACATACTGTTTATTTGTAAAAGGAGACACATTTACATGGTCCTTAATGATGATAGTATTATGTTTTTCCCGTTTGATATGCGTTTTTACTTTTAATAAAAGATTCTTTACTGAATTTCAATTTGTTTTAACTGAAGAAGACCAGCACTTAATCGAGACGATTTTTACATTATAATAAATATATAAAATTTACTCGTACATTGGCGTTAGGTTCCTATTGACCAATTTACAATTTGAATTTATTTTTAGGGAGTTTAAACTTCTATTTTCTCGGAAATCTGACGTGATGAATAGTTTTCGTGGTCATATTTGTATCCAACACATTTTGACTTACTAAAGAACAACCTTTCATGGCAGAAGTACAAAATTTTATAACGTAATATTATTAGATAACACAACGTGCATGACAGAAAACTGATATGTGTAATCTGATATGTGTACATTTGTATACATGTGTGTCTGTGTATGTATATATTATTATATTGGCATTACATTAATATATTTGCAAAAATCTGCTAAACATATTAGATATCAATATAATGATAATGTTATCCGAATTAGCGCTTAATATACTGTTAGCATGATATGAATGCTGAATATTGTGCTTATATTATCGAGTATTAATTCGGATATTAGTTAAATAGTATTATTATTATTAACGAACAATGCACGAGTGAATAACGGAAGATCAGGATGAAATAGTGCGTAACAAATACCGTAGGTACATGCCCCGACGGTTTGAAGGAAGCGAGCTAAGGACACCGGGTGCTGATGCGCTTCCCACGAATCACCCAACAGAAGAAAGGGCAGCCACTATGCCGCGCTATTCAGATGTCCCGGTGGCCACTCCGAGAAGCGTAAGAGGTATTCACTTGTGGTGATATCGATCGTTGCACTGCCGGCGAGATCGAACACGGAGAACGCTCGCGGAATTAAGCACAATAAAAAAATAGTCTTGCAGTCACGGCGAAAATGATCTGGACACGAGAAATTAGTTAAGATGGATACATGACTAGCAAATACTACGATATCACGTACGTTTTATCAATATAGATGACAGAGACAAAATGTATATATTTGAACTAAAACTCGAGCTAAAATTCGAATTATTATGTTTAAAATTTCTCAAGAAAATCTCTGTGAAGCTCGTCCAGATTTTAAGACCAAATTAATAATTGGGCGTGCTTATATAAGAATGATCAAACACACATATGTTCCGAAGAAAATGGAGATGACAATTTACCGCATGATTTAAAAGATATAAGCAGCATTGAAGATTTTCTTCGCAATTGTTCAAGAAGTAGAACATGATGAATTTTCTTCCTTTTTAAGTTTATTTATTAGCAAGCTTAACTCTTTAAAAAATGGGTAAAAAGGACGTAATTAAAATAGCGCAACCAGGAGAAAATAAAAACTGTCTTTTAATTAATTTCAGGCGCCTATAAAACTTAGATTTTTTACTTTATGTAGAACATTATTATAATTTTCATATCAAATTTGATCGACATTTTTTTAATAAAATAAGAAAATTAAGTGAAATAATTTTTTTTTCAGGTGAAACAATTTTCTTCTTTGAGCCAAATTAATAAAAAATGGCACAATTATTAAAAAATAAAAACTGCTCTTTAATTTATTTCAGGCGCCCATTTTTTCTCTATATGACATTATAATTTTTATGTCAAATTTGATATACATTTTTTAGTAAAAGAGGAAAATTAAATGAAACAATTTTCTTCTTTGAACCACACTAGTAAAAAATGATGCAACTAGTAGAAAATAAAAACTGTCTTTTAATTAATTTCAGACCCATAAAGCTTGGATTTTTTTATGCAGAAAAACGTATGAACTAACTATTGGTAATATAAAACTCGAAAGTCATAATTTTGTGGGTTGGATCATTCTTGCATAATTATGACCAATTGGTAATAGCATTTAAATTTATATATTGCTAAAATACTATTGCTCCTGTTGCTATAAATTTTGTGTATTATAGACGCTTTTCTAGCAGATACAAAAAAACGACGACAATTATTACTGTGACATTTAAAATCCTATCTGTACTAGTAAAACATTTTTTTGAGCGTAGGCGAAGACCAAAAAGAACATAGAGCATCGAATTATACCACACCCTGTACATGCATTTTCGATTCGCTCATGTCCCGAACGAAAACTAATTTCGCGGCGGAAGATGATATCGCGCGTTGTCGGCTGATGTAAAAACGAGGCAATATAAACCGCAAATAATTATCTATTTAATTTAATTACGATTTTCGTATTCTCATCTCATACACATCATTTCCATAATTTCGAGGAGTTAGCAAACAATGTGTCGACGCAATGCATGCGACACAAAGACAAAAGCAGCGGCATCGCCGCGCGCTGTCGCCGGCCCGGGCGTTCTCTCTCTCTCTCTCTCTCTCTCTCTCTCTCTCTCTCTCTCTCTCTCTCTCGCTCGCTCGTTCGCTCGATATTAATTAATTAATTCAAGCGTATCGATCGCGCCGCGCGTTAAATTGCGCTCGTTATCGCCTCATCGTCTCATCGATCAACTGAAATTTCGGCCGGTCGGTTTGCATTACTCTCGTATTATCGCGTACAGCCAGTCCCAGGATGACGACGCAGTCGTTAGACAGAAAATTACTGATGGGCCCGAGCGATGGGACGGACCGTTCGCAAGTTCTCTGCAACAGATACGCCCTGGATGATCTGGAGGACGAGATGCTGAGGTGGCAGCCGCCACCGCCTCGAAATAGAGGCGAGTATCGGTAAACTGTAGCACGGTATTACTGTCTACTTGTACGGCCTAATTCTAAGAACGACCAAGATACACGGGATCGCGTCATAAGTAACTCCCGACGAGGACGCTTATCCTTTCCGGGCACTCCCGTAGGAAGGATCGATAAACTTCAATACCTCTCCAAAGTGCAATCAGTGCAATCATTCTTCATTGAAGTGCTATATTTGTAACTGCTGGTTCAGTTATAGGTGTAGCACTGCAATCAGTTAAATCTCACTGCAATAACCAGGTAACAGTAGCGACTGTTCCTATTATTGATGCAATTTGTGCAAACACGAACAATGTTATTGCACCGAAATCGCACGGAAGCCTTTAATTCCATCAGCATTATAAATGCCGAAAGTTGGATTTGGCACGACGTTTAACGAATTTGTGCACTACAGATTTTGCAGTGAAATCTTATTCCCCCACTGGCCAAAATTAATGAGATGTAGAATAGAGCAGTAAAGTAGTGTTTCTACTGAAGACACAAACTTATTTTTACTTTTGGAAGTTACAAGAACAAATAAATCGATTTCTTATAGATTTTTGGATGCTGAAAATGAGTCTGTCTTTTATCATGTTTCCTCTATTTCTATCATGTCAGGTTTTCGAGTAATAAATGGTTGAAGCTCCAAAAAACTGCTATTTTGGTCACATTTTACAGTCCATAAATTGTTAAATTTATGTAATACTGAAATCAGTATAGGTTTTATAGATTTTTGCATGCTAAAGACGAATTTGTTCCTCAAAATTAGTTCATCACGTCAACTTTTTTAGTAACCATTAGCTGAAACCTTAAAAAACAATTATTTTGAGATTTCAGCTAATGGTTACTGAAAAGTCTGATGTGATAGGCTAATTTAGAGGAGATTTGTTTTAGCATCTGGAAATCTATAAGAATCACTTACATTGATTTCAGTATCGTATAAATTTTACAATTTATGGACCGCTAAAAATGATTAAAATGGAGGTTTTTAACCATTCATTACTCGAAAACTTAATGTACAGTCATTTGAAATACAGGATTATTTTCAAAAATCTATAAGAAATCGACTCATTTCTTCTTGTAACTTTCAAAAGATCAAATTTTGTAGATCTATGAAATCAGTGAATATTTATTGATCGGCGAAATGCTTCTTCAACTGATTCAATCAGAAATATTTGTACTGATTCACTTTAGGTGAGTAGGAAGCGCGAGTCATTATTGGCAACATTGGGATATATCAGATCAGACTCCGCTGTCAGATACTTCACGCGAGAACACATTTACGAGGGAAGAAAACGGAAATTATTTATGACTCAAAAGTCGATCATCTACGAAAATAACCACTTTTCCGTATACATAGTTAAACACATTAGTAAATGATTAGCATGTGATCAAATATTTTTAGTACTCGATACTCTTTGAATTTCCTGGAGTGGAATCTCACAGGAAACGAATGAAAAAGTAACAGAGTGTTTTCACTCGAAGTAAGTACTGCCACTTGAAATCGCAAGAGCGAAGTTTTACTCAAGTTTATTTTTACTCTATATAAGCGAATGTTTTAATCGATTAAATTTAGTGAATATGTTCCTGATAAGCTGGTTGTAAGTTGGTTGCATGTTGATGTTGCAAGTTGATTGCAGGTTCATGATTTCTCATTGAATGAATTTGTAAAACTTCAAGTTGTCAAAATTAAAAGTCACTGCCGACATGTACAGTTGGAAACTAAAAAGTTGTCCGTAATTTTTTAGATGAGTTGTGAATTCCCTATTTTGTCCAATGAGAATTCGTTTTCTAATGGAAAAGTGTCTCGTTGGACAAGAAGAATGAGTCTTCGTATGTGCGGTGTAATCATGATTATAAATATATAAAAACTGCTATTTCTCAAAAAATAATGTTCTCTTAATTTAAAATAAATTCTTTCTTTCGAATTTCACAAATGTCGTGTATGTCACACTCTGTACTGTCACTTCGGCTCCTGTCATAGCCGATTACAATGCGTACGTGTCAGCGCCACTGCTGATGCGGCTTTTAATTCTGACAACTCGAAGCGTTGCAACTTTATTTGATAAAAAATATACAAGCCGATTTGCAATCGACTACGCATTAAATTAGTTTTTTAGTCTGTATTAATAGTCGTTACTTGAAACTCGTTCAATGTGAGATATTCAGATTTGAATTTAGAGTTGAGTTTTTTATCTTTTAATCATATGAGATATGCAACATAACATTTGTAATCGCGATTCAACTGACAAACTCACTCTGATTCGAAATCCAAATCGGATTATCTCATCTGAGGCAAGTTTCAAATAACGACTATCAATACGAATCTTCAAATTTCGGGTGAACACATTCACTCGACGATTCAGAATGGAGAATTCACTTTGCATGAGCGAAAAATCACTGGAATTCGAGTGATTCGGCGATCACTCTCCTTTCAGAGTGTAGTTTCACTCCAAGAAATTTAAAAGGAAATTGAACTTTGCAAAGATGATATTTTTATTTAACGTGGCATTATTTAACGGGGCAAAGTTCGATGAATTTCTTTGACCTCGTGTAAGCAGCGACAATCGACCCAAGCCTAATAATGTCATTTTTAATCGCATTATTATACAGGATGCTATCTATCTCCGGTGATGCTATTATTAGTTCGGGATCCGAACAGAAACGTCCGCTTGATCCGAGGCGATTAAGTAGACCGCGCTCCAAAGTGCTTGAAGAAATTAAACAAAACCGATACCGTTACAGTCGGAAACTTGGAGAAGCCGCAGAGCAACGGAACGACCGACGAGCCGGATAACGCCGAAAAGCAAACTACTCTCAGTCCCAGATCCTTGCCGAGGAGATGCCTCTCCGTGGAAGGAGCCACGACAAATAGTCAGAGAACGAGCTTGCAATCGGGACTGCGACCTGCTCAGGTTTATTTGGAAATGGAGCATATGGGAAGGCCGCAATCCACCAAGTCTAGACGCACGAGGAGCAATTACTCCGTTGGTGAGCGAGTCATATAAAAGACGTTGAATCTCGCGAGATATGTAATCCTAAATTCGCAGAAAAATCCACATTCCGGGAGAGTCTGAGGGGAGATCGAAAAATGACTCTTCGGATAGATGAGCAAATAATTCTCGTAAATTGAGCTCCCAAAACCCGGATGTTGCTTATGAGACACGATATACTCCCAATTTGAATTTCTACTGTAACTTGTGTTCAACATGGCGTCGTCGACCCGAGATAGCTTCAAAGCACGATATTCTAAAAATTGCTTGCATCTGTGTTAACGCGCTGAGTGACTGGAAATATAGACCTCCTCTCCCTTTTAAGTAATTTAAACAATTCGTCATCCTTAAGCAATTTAAATAATACATCCGAGAGATGCTGTCTACAATTCTTTAATTGTCCTAATTTCAAATTTAGACGAAGATCAACGACTGTGTAATCTTTTAATACAGTGCCGCTTTAATATTATACTTCTTATCGAGAAAATTTCTTAAGGTTGCTAATATTATACTTCTTATCGAGATTTTAAGATTGCTAAAAGAGAGCATAAGTTGCACGAGTGATACAACTCCGTATATATCGCGGCTTAATCCGTTTGCTACACAGAGAGAATTTTATAGTAAGAATACTAGTAAGAACATAGTAAAAATTATAAAATTATTAGATTATATAAAATAAAGTTGCCTATTATGGGGAAATTTTTTGTAAGAGTTTATGACTTTGTCCATAATACTATATTTGATTTGGTGAAGTATGTAAAATATTTTATAAAAATATATCTCTATGATCATTCTTTTAAACATATTATAAAATTAGTTAGTTTTTAAGATATAATTGTTTTAGAAAATATATGTGTCTTTTCCCCACATTAGGCAACCAGTTTCCTAATTTGGGGAAGTTATTATATAACTTATATTAAATTTTAACAGGTTTAAAAGAGGATGATTAATGTTATTATAGTTTAATTATTTTATTTTGCATGTTAACAAATAATAAATACTATGAGAAACATATAACATTATATCAAAATGTTAAAACCAAATAAATAACATTTCAAAATAAAAAAGAAACATTAAAGTGAAACGTAGCATTATATTTTAGAAACAAAAATATATCCTATTAAAAAATTTGCTGTTTTCAGCGAAATTTACTGCGTTCTTTAGCAAGACAAACCTTACTGATAATCAATACCTGTATTATTAGAAACATAGTAAAATTAAAAAGACTTTATGTGGAAAAAGAAACTATAATATTCTCTCCGTGTACATAATATATAGCTTTAGATTTTACAAATTTCCGCTGCAATATACACACACAGATTGCGTCCCTTGAAATTATTATTATTTATATATGCCGCGTATATATTTCAATTACAAAGTCGAGAAAATGTATCGGAAAAGTTAATCGATGTGTCGAGTATGCGCGACGCTCACAAAGCATCGAGCACGTCACACACACACACACACATACTCATGCGATATTGTGGCGGCAGCGAACGCGTTAAACAACAGGTCGATCGATAACTCGTACTCTCTAATCGTGAAATAATGTCCCTAGCGCGTTCTTATAAACGCGGGCCATCGCCGAGGATTATGTCGCCGATGGGATTCGCCGTGCTGCGACAAGTTTACGCGGACGATATTGATTTTGACAACGAGTACTACGCCGCCACGGATGACCAAGAAAAACAGCCGACCAAGCCCGTGCCCATCTGGCTGTGCGTCTTCCTGGTCGTCAGCTACATATTCGGCGGCGCTTACCTTTTCAGCGAATGGGAGAAGTGGCCGTTCCTCGACTCCGCTTACTTCTGCTTCATCACGCTGACCACCATCGGTTCGTGCACCTCCGCCACCTTCTTATATTGCCATCCTCGCGTAAAATCGCGCGATGTTTGATGATGAAACGACCGACGTTTTTTATTACATTCAACTCACGACGTCGTCGAAGAGATGCGATCGCAGCTCCCAAGTAGCCGGAGCTTCCGCGCGCCACTTTTCGGCGGATTTCAATCGTGTCGTTCATATTTGTAAACCACAAAGTCAGGTTTTTCATGTTTTACTGGAGAAAATCAGTCCTTGAATTTGCGTGATAATATCTTTTGCTTGACAACACATAACTTGCGGTAGAAACGTTTGGTCGAATTAACCAAATTCCTGGTGAAATATGAACAAATCAAAGAATTCTGGTTGAACTTATCAGAATTCTGCCCCAGTTAATCAGCAATCTTGTTAAATTGAACAGAATTCCGGTAAATTCAGCCGGAATTTCCGGTTCGTTCATGTTTCACCAGAAAGAACAATCGATAATGTTAGATATTTCAACAATGTTGAAAAAGGACCAAAATTTGCCCATAAGAGAAACGTATGAAATCGATCTTTATGTTTTTGAGTCTGCTGAACTCGATTATGAAACTTAAAATTGTTCAAAATGCGGGGAAATCTGTGAAAAAATATAATTTTCTACAGAAAAACCTCATATTACGACGAATACTTGTTCTGTGGTTAATCTAACTAAACTGTTTTTTTCGTGCATGATCTTCGCGCTTTTGACGCTTTCACGAGATCCACAAGCGTTGACTGCGTTAGGAGATCGCAAGTAACATAAACGCAAAGCTCTCACATGACATTTCCCGTCTCTGTTCCTCTTTCTTTTTTGAAGGTTTTGGCGACTTAGTGCCGGCATACAAGCTGGATGCGCACAAGGGTATCGCCCTTTGTTCCCTCTACCTGCTATTTGGAATTGCTTTGCTGGCAATGAGCTTTAATCTGGTGCAAGAGGAGGTCATCAACAACGTGAAGAGCGTCGCGAAGAGGCTGGGTATCATCAAAGAGACTGACGACGAGGAGGAGGCCGAGGAGTACGACGAATACGACGCCGAGTATGAGGAGGAGGTCTATGAAAACGAGCCCGAGCTCTGATCCCGCGGTTTTCAGCCTCGCCATTCGAGGAGATCGGCGATACGACGTGCCGTCATTCATCGTTGTCGCGTGATCCCGCGGGGATCCCCGTTCATCTGTCGTCCTGACATATAAGTCAGCTCCGCAACGCGGCCATAAGCAGAGCTAAGCTCGCGCAAATCGAATTCCCGATCGAGCGATACGTTTTATCTGCGACGTTTGTTTTCTCGTCGCGCGAGCCGCCACGACGGCAAATCGGAATGAACGAACGCGAGCAAACTCGCGCGAGATCGATAATTCCAGTCTTAATTTTACCGTATTATTATCGTGACCCAAAGCGAGAGAGCGCAGATGGAGCGTTAGTAAGTCTCGTCTCTCCGACGAGAAAATCATTATCGTAAACTCATTAAAACGAATATATTCGTTGAGTAATCATCATGAGCTCGCTCGAAATCAACTGACGTTTCCAGTATTTTATTCGGATATGATCCAATTTTGCCCGAGGAACTCTAGTCTTTTCTCATCGGTCTTCGAGTAATATATATATATATCATTTGAATTCTTCTCGCGCACAAGTCGGCAGGGAATACGACTTGGAAATTTTTCGAATTTTAACACCACCTTGGATCTCGTTACTAGACGATATTGAAATATAGAGGTTTACCGTTAATTAATACATCGATGAAACAATGAAGCAAGAAACTGCATCCAGCGGGATGCACAGAAAATACCGCTGCACAATGTTACTGTATATAATATCGTGTACGTATACGTCTAAGAATCAGATTCTATAAAATGAATGAGAGAATAATTGCGAAATGCAATTAAATTTGCATACACATAGCACAGCGGTGACTTTAATATTTAGTCGACATTTGCATTTTGAATATCTCCCCTTTAGATTTCGTCCAGCGTGCTAGTTCGCGGTAAGTCTTATGACTTAGTCACTAGACACGGAAAGTATATTAGATATATAACTCTATATATATATTCATATGTATACATTAAATTAGGTTGTGCAATTATAGGTTCGAAATAATACTGAAACATTATATCATTTACCAGATATATATCATATTTAAACATATAAATCTCATAAAACTGTCATTTCCCGTACATGTGTGTGTATATTTTTTCCTCTATATAGATAAAAATTCGGCAAATCGACAATCGTCGCCACTATTCGTCTCTCGAGAAAGAGAAAGAAAGAGAGAGAACAGTGTGTGCAAAACTAATCTAAAAATAAAACAGGACAGAACATAATTATTCTTCTTGTAATGCGCCATGAAGTACATTGTGGAAAGACACGAGGGATTTTCTGAGAGATACCCTCGGTTTTACAGTAGTCCCTTAAATTTTCTTGGACACACGTGCACACGCGCGCGCGCACTGCGCGAGAATATAATTATCTTACAGAAAGAGAAAAAAAGAGAGAAAGAGAGAGAGAGAGAGAGAGAGAGAGAGAGAGAGAGAGAGAGAGAGAGAGCGAGCGAGAGAGAGAGAGAGGAAGAGAAAGACAGCGGGCGCGACGTTTTCGCGCGGCTTACTACTTTCCGCGTGGAAGATTGTTCTTACAATATTTCCCCGGACGCACTTGCCGGATGCAAAACTCACGCTTCCTATGCAAATCCCTTTCATCCTCTTTTGCGGCCCGCACACACAAGCATATATACACACACACATACATACATATGTAATCACACAAACACGACAGTGAGAAAGAGAGAGAGAGAGAGAGGAGAAAGAGAGCTACAGACCCATACACATACGTAGACATTCACATGTGCACGTGGCATATGTTTTCTCGCTGCGTTCGCAGCCGCATTTCGCCGTTTAAATCGCCAGGACGTTAATCGCCTCGACGGCGTCGTCGTCGTCGTCGTCATCGTCGTCGTCATTGGTGGCGACGGCAGCGTCCCGTTAACGGCCCCGGCTTCAACGACTCGATAATCGCGCGATAAAGCCCACTCGAAGAAGAAATAATAGCCGCTAAGAACTTCCGTTCGCGCCCATTACGCGAACGAACCAGCCTGGCGCGCGAAATCTGCATTTCATAAATTTTAAAGCCGTTCGTAGGCGACGCGACGCGACTCGGCTCGACTCGACGCGATGCTCGATCTGACTTCCACCACAAGAACGAAATTATTCTCCGCGGGAGTTGAATATTTTCGCGCGGAATCTCGGCGATCGATTGATCAGGCGGTATTGTCGGATAACCCGCTTTCGCGTCGTTTCTCAAGTACACAAATTTTTCGGATACGGAAGCAGAAAAGAGAGAAAAAGATATTATTCGACGTTAATGATGAAGAAAGGATTTATTGCAAAGATGCCCATCAAAGATTTTAATTAGGAGGCTGATTTAATTCTTTGTGTGTCATTAAATTTTTTAACCATGCAACATTATCTGTGTCTGTCACAGCAGATTTGAAGTACCACAATTTTGTTGAAAATCAATATTTCTGAGCACATTTCTTTCAGAAATGTAGAAAAGCTTCAGCTTTAGAATAATGATGCGATAAAATCGAGATTTGCGCTATTTCGAGATTTTCCTGGACTCTTTATGAAAATTGCTGAGCAAGCAAATATTCGTTTGGGTCTCACAGACCTAATATTGTACATGAAAGTTTAGGGGAGAGTTCTGGTTTAGACAACCAAAAAATAGGCGATTTTTATCATAATAGAAGTTTTTGTCGAAAAAAGAAATAAATATGTTATTACAGGGTTTTGACTGTACTATTTATCATTATTTTAAGTATATAATATTATTATAATTATTTAATATTTATATTTATATTTATTAATATATGTTATTATAAATATTTAAATTATTAATAAATTATATATATATATATATATATATATATATATA